GGTTTTTTTTTTTTTGAGACGGAGTTTCTCTCTTGTTACCCAGGCTGGAGTGCAATGGTGCAATCTCGGCTCACCACAATCTCCACCTCCTGGGTTCAGGCAATTCTCCTGCCTCAGCCTCCCGAGTAGCTGGGATTACAGGCACGCACCACCATGCCCAGCTAATTTTTTGTATTTTTAGTAGAGACGGGATTTCACCACGTTGACCAGGATGGTCTCGATCACTTGACCTCGTGATCCACCCACCTCGGCCTCCTAAAGTGTTGGGATTACAGGCGTGAGCCACTGCGCCCAGCCGTTTTTTGGGTTTTTTTCTGAGACAAGGTCTTGCTTTGTCACCCAGGCCAGAGTGCAGTGGTACAATCACAACTCACTGCGGCCTTGATCTCCTGGGCTCAAGTGATCCTCCTGCCTCAGCCTCTTAAGCAGCTGGGACTACACGTGCATGCCACCATGTCCAAATCACTTTTTGTTTTTTTATAGAGATGAGGTCTCATTATGTTGCCCAGGCTGGCCTCGAACTCCTGAACTCATTATTGTCTCACCTTGGCTCTCAAAGTGTTGGGATTACAGGCATGAGTCACTGAGGCTGGCCAATATGTACAGTTTAATGTACACCAATTATTCTTCAATAAAGCTGTGAAAAAATAATTTTGGTGGATGACAGACAAAAATATAAATGCCATAAATATAAAACTTCTAGAAAAAAAGAATAACATCTCTATGACTTCATAGTAGACAAAGGTTTCTTAGGCAGAGCACAAAGAGAACCAATAATAAAAATCAGAAAAAGACAAGACTTAAACCACGAAATAATATGTGCTTATTAAATGAATCATTAAGAAAATGGAAAAGTACCAGGCGCGGTGGTCAAGCCTGTAATCCCAGCACTTTGGGAGGCCAAGGTGGGTGGATCACGAGGTCAAGAGATGGAGACCATCCCGGTCAACATGGTGAAACCCCGTCTCTACTAAAAATACAAAAAATTAGCTGGGCATGGTGCTGCGTGCCTATAATCCCAGCTACTCAGGAGGCTGAGGCAGGAGAATTGCCTGAACCCAGGAGGCAGAGGTTGCGGTGAGCCGAGATCACGCCATTGCACCCCAGCCTGGGTAACAAGAGTGAAACTCCATCTCAAAAAAAAAATGGAAAAGTAAACCACAGACTTGGAGACAATATTGGCAGTGCATATTTAATAACGAATTTGTGCATAGGATTTATGTTAAAAATCTCTAAAACCCAATAATTTTTTTAAAAAGAAAGCACAATAAAAACAGGCAAAAGATTTGACACTTCCCCAAAGAACATACAACTGGCTAATAAAACTATAAAAAATGTACGATATTATTAGTCATCATAGATATGCCAGTAAAAACCACAATAAGAAATCATTTCACTAGAATGGCTAAAATTTAAAAGAATGGAAATACCAAGAATTCATAAATATGTAGAGATGCTGGAATTTCCACATATTGCGATAAAAGAGAAACTGTGTCATCACTTGGAAAACTCTGGCAAATTGTTATACAGTAATACTTACTGCATGACCTAGCAAATAAACTCCTATTTTCCCAATAAATCAAAATGTATATTCCCAAAAAGGCTTTCATAAGAATGTTTGTTATAGGTCTATTTTGAATATTAAAAGCTGTAAACAAAGTAAAATGTGAAAGAGTAAACAAATAGTAGGTATTTATATAACAGCATGCTATTCAGCAATATAAATCAAAATGTAATCAGGCCACACAGCAGCATGGATGAATCTCACAAAAATCATTTTGGGCAAAAGACACCAGATATTCAAAATTCCCTTTACTTTCAGTTAGAGAACAGGAAACATTGGTGACGGAGATTAGATCAATGTTCACCTGGCATGAGAAGAGATTGGGTGCACAGGTGCATGAGGAAACATGCAGAGGTCACAGAAATGTTCTCATTTGTAGTGGTGGCTACACAGAAGCATATATTTATGAAAACTCACTGAACCAATCACTTAACATCTGTGCATGTTATGTCAAATATATCTTACGGTGGTTAATTTTATGTGTCAACTTTGAGGTGTTTTTGAATAAGATTAATGTTTAAATTTGTGAACTGTGAATAGGGGAGATTGCCTCCCATGATGTCACTGGGCATCATCTAATCACTTGAAGACAGGAAAAAGACAGTTCTCGCTGATCAAGAAAGAATTCTCTAGCCAATTGCCCTCAGACTTCATCTGCACCATTGGCTCTCCTGGGTCTCCAGACTGCTAGCCCACACTATCGCTTTTGGATGTGCCAACTCCCATCTTGCAAGCCAATTATTTATAATTAGATGGATGGATAGTTAGATAGATAAAAAGATGATGCAAAATATGCATATATCCTCTTGGTTCAGTTTCTCTGGACAACCCTATTATAGAACTCATATCCAGGAAATAGTATAGAACAAATTCCTTAGAAACAATATGTTTCTTCTTTAAGAAAATTCTTATAAATCAATAGATTTCATGCCAAGCTAAGTATCAGAGTGTATACTTCAGAGATTACCAAAAATATTGTTGATTTTCCCTTATGAATCTTGAATGTTTCTACTACTAAAAAAATCAAGGTTGTGCTTCATTCTTCTGATCTCATCAATTGAACCACCCCAACCTCCTCCTTCCTAAAGTTTCTAAGTCATTTTCCTCCATTAAATCTATTTCTAAGCAGTTATTTCTGTTTGTTCTTACTCCTAGACCATCATTTTCATGGCTGTGCTCCTACAGCAGAGTCTGTTGTTAGGCCATGACCCATCTGGTATCTCACAGCTGGAAGCTCTTGGAGTCTAACAGGGACCCTCCGTCTTGAAAGCAGATGCCCACATCTGCCCCCCCAGCACTGTGTTCCTGAAATCTCTGCTCACCTGTTTGACTTTTAGCTACTGTTTCTGCTGAGTTTCTTGGAATCTCGCTTTGTAGGCGTCAGCCAATTCTTGAGAGAAAATTGCGCGCAGATTTTTAAACTCACTTTTCTGAAGTTTCCTCTCTCCAGGACTTTTTTTCTGTCAAATCCTATCCATTTTTCCTACCAAACACACACCTATAAAGTTGGCCATTTTCAGCTTGGGCTGTATTACCATGAACTGAAAGTTGGCAAATGCCTTGAGAGGAGAGAGCCAAAATACTTGCATGTCAGTATTTTTCCTCCCCTTCTCTTAAGAAAAGAAAGTCCTGCATCTTGCCTTTCTTAGTTCTCTCTAATGCCTTTTAATGGTTGCTTTGAATAGTTTATCTACATTTAATTATTGCTTTCAGGGACATGTTGGATAGTACTAGGGGTAACCACAGCAACCTTTAAAAATTTAAGTTATATAAAGTCACTCCTTGCCTTAAAACCCTTTAACGGCTTGCCTCTACACCTTGAACAAATTCAAATAACATAGTTTTGACTTAGAATGGGCTTGTAATCTAACCCTTGCCTATCTTACCTAGTTCACCTACAGTCACAGTCCCATTTTTTCACTGCAATCCAGCCACATATGCCTCCTTGCAAGTCTTTAAATAAGCCCTTTCCTGCCTTTGTATTTGCTGTCATCTCACCTCTGTTGGAAACACTGATTTCTAATTCTGTTATTGGCTAATTTCTTCTCCTTCCCATGACTGATGTAAATGCAACTTTTCAGAGAGGTCCTCCAGGAAAAGACACTGTTTTCACCTTTTGCTTTCAGTGTATATCACAATATAATAAATCACGGGCAAAGTCATACACAAAGAACAGGGGCAAATGAAGCAAAAAAAAGGATTTAGCTGTGCAGAGGAGAATATAATAACATCTGCAAAGTCCGTTTACAGAGCCTAATGTGAATGTAAAAATTCACGGGAAGAAGATGAGAAAAATGAAAAAAGGTGTAGATGTGAGACACAGTCCAAAGTGCTCTGTGTAATAAAGAGATTTGCTTCACTCTGTAATTTATTATCCAAATGAGCATTAATTAGAACTTAAGACCATTCTCTGAAAAACTATAATCAAGGTGTTCTTGAGCACCTGAAAGAAACAGTCTGTGCATTTCTCTGATTAATTTTCAAAGGATTTACTCACAAAACAAGAAATTTCTGACTTAAAGAATATGGGCATGTTTAAGGTTTATTATTCTAATTGTCAAATTATACTAAGACTGAATGCGCCAATTTACAAATAACTGGTAACATGCAAGAGTGCTAGTGTTTTGCCACATCCTCACCAATATAGGATATTGCTGCTTTTTAACATTTTTGTCAGTTTAATGGAAAATGGCATTCTTTTATTTACAAGAGTGATTGAATATATTCTCTTATATTTATTAATTGTATTTCAACAGTAATGAACTTTTTGTATACCTGAACCACTTTTTAATTTATACACACATTGTTTTTACTAAATTCAAATAACTTTTCATATATCATGGCAAGTTTTGATTGATGGTTTCAAATGAACAATTAAAAGTATGAAATGCTTCTATTTCTATCAGTATTCAAGCCAGATTTGCTTTGGGTATCTCTAGCTCCTTTTATGCAAGTGAAGAAAATTAACATTTTAACAGTGTCTTTTCTTCTTAATTCTTTTGGGCAATTAATTGAGCCTTTTGTTCTCAAATATAAGCTGTATCCAAAGTATTTCACCTATTTATTTTGCAGTAAGGTTAGTTCTTTATTACACATATGGTATATATCTTTAAAGTGTTTTACTTTTAATTATATTCTAACTTTTGCCATGCTAAAAGTTTTTATTTTATGTGGATAAATCTATGATTTTTTTCTTTATGGCTTCTCTTGTGGTATTATACTTTTAAAGTACTTTCTCATCCTAAGGTGCACTCAATTTTTTTAGTCACTTTAAATTTTTATGTCTTACAATTTAAATACATCTAGAATTTATTTTGACTTATGCGGTAAAATCTGGAATCTAAGTTACTATTTCCTAATTGTCAGTCAATTATCACTGTATATTATAAAATAATATTTTATCTCTTTAGCTTTAAGATCTCAATTTTTGGGAGAACTGCGTGGCGCGGCGGCGGGCAAGGGCAGTGCGCAGTGAGTGGCGCTGCGGGTGGTGCCGTCAGCGGCGCTGGTGAGAGAACGCCGAGCAGTCACCGAAGCCTCCGCCGCCGAGAAGCCCGTTCCCGCTGCCGGGAAGCAGAGTCTGTGCCGACAAGATGGCGGACGGGGAGTTGAACGTGGACAGCCTCATCACCCGGCTGCTGGAGGTAGGAGGATGTCGACCAGGAAAGATTGTGCAGATGACTGAAGCAGAAGTTCGGGGTTTATCTATCAAGTCTCGGGATATCGTTCTCAGCCAGCCTATTCTTTTGGAATTGGAAGCACCACTGAAAATGTGTGGAGATATTCATGGACAGTATACAGATTTACTGAGATTATTTGAATATGGAGGTTTCCCACCAGAAGGCAACTACCTTTTCTTAGGAGATGATGTGGACAGAGGAAAGGAGTCTTTGGAAACTATTTGTTTGCTATTGGCTTATACAATAAAATACCCGGCCGGGCGCGGTGGCTCAAGCCTGTAATCCCAGCACTTTGGGAGGCCGAGACAGGTGGATCACGAGGTCAAGAGATCGAGACCATCCTGGTCAACATGGTGAAACCCCATCTCTACTAAAAATACAAAAAATTAGCTGGGCATGGTGGCGCGTGCCTGTAATCCCAGCTTCTCAGGAGGCTGAGGCAGGAGAATTGCCTGAACCCAGGAGGCGGAGGTTGCGGTGAGCCGGGATCGCGCCATTGCACTCCAGCCTGGGTAACAAAAGTGAAACTCCGTCTCAAAAAAAAAAAAAAAAAAAATACCCAGAGAACTTCTTTCTCTTAAGAGGAAACAATGAGTGTGCTGGCATCAATCGCATTTATGGATTCTATGATGAATGCAAACGAAGATTTAATATTAAATTGTGGAAGACCTTCACTGATTGTTTTAACTGTCTGCCTATAGCAGCCATTGTGGATGACAAGATCTTCTGTTGTCATGGAGGATTGTCACCAGACCTGCAATCTATGGAGCAGATTAGGAGAATTATGAGACCTACCGATGTCCCCGATACAGGTTTGCTCTGTGATTTGCTGTGGTCTGATCCAGATAAGGATGTGCAAGGCTGGGGAGAAAATGATCGTGGTGTTTCCTTTACTTTTGGAGCTGATGTAGTCAGTAAATTTCTGAATCGTCATAATTTGGATTTGATTTGTCAAGCTCATCAGGTGGTGGAAGATGGATATGAATATTTGCTAAACGACAATTGGTCACCCTATTTTCAGCCCCAAATTATTGTGGCGAGTTTGATAATGCTAGTGGAATGATGAGTGTACATGAAACTTTGATGTGTTCCTTTCAGATATTGAAACCATCTGAAAAGAAAGCTAAGTACCAGAATGGTGGACTGAATTCAGGACATCCTGTCACTCCACCTCAAACAGCTAATCCACCAAAGAAAAGGTGAAGAAAGGAATTCTGTAAAGAAACCATCAGATTTGTTAAGAACATACTTCATAATAAAAAGTGTGCGCTGTAAAACCATCCAGCCATTTGACACCCTTTATGATGTCACACCTTTAACTTAAGGAGAAGGGTAAAGGGTCTTAAACTTTTTTCTAATAGAAAGATGTGCTACACTGTATTGTAATAAGTATACTCTGTTATAGTCAACAAAGTTAAATCCAAATTCAAAATTATCCATTAAAGTTACATCTTCCCGTATCACAATTTTTAAAGTTGAAAAGCATCCCAGTTAAACTAGATGTGATAGTTAAACCAGATGAAAGCATGATGATCCATCTGTGTAATGTGGTTTTAGTGTTGCTTGGTTGTTTAATTATTTTGACCTTGTTTTGTGTTTTTGTTTGTTTTTCGCTAGAATAATAGCAAATACGTCTAATTTTTTTCCGTAAACATTTTTAAAAGTGAAATATGGGAAGAGCTTTAAAGACATTCACCAAGTATTACTTTCCCTTATTTACCTACTTAGATACCTGTTTAATCTTACTAAGAAAACTTATGCCTCTGTACATTAAAAATGAATTTTAGAGATTGATTGATTAAAAAAAAAATACGCACACTGTCGAATCCAGTGATTTTAATCATACAGTTTGACTGGGCAAACTTTACAGCTAATAGTGCATATTTTGCTTTATACCGAAATTGCTACTGCTTTGGATTTGTGCACTCTAATTTTTTATTTATTTATTTTTTATTTATTTTATTTTTTTTGAGAGGAAGTTTCGCTCTTGTTACCCAGGCTGGAGTGCAATCTCGTGATCTTGGCTCACCGCAACCTCCGCCTCCTGGGTTCAGGCAATTCTCCTGCCTCAGCCTCCTGAGAAGCTGGGATTACAGGCACGCGCCACCGTGCCCAGCTAATTTTTTGTATTTTTAGTAGAGACGGAGTTTCACCATGTTGACCAGGATGGTCTCGATCTCTTGACCTCGTGATCCACCTGCCTCGGTCTCCCAAAGTGCTGGGATTACAGGCGTGAGCCACCACGCCCGGCCTCTAATTTTTAACTTATTGATGCTCTATTGTGCAGTAGCATTTCATTTAACTTTAAGATAAGGCTCATATAGTATTACCCAACTAGTTGTTAATGTCATTATGTGGTACCTTGGCTTTAGGTTTTAATTTTCAGGGAACACCTTTTGGCATGCTTAACTTCCTGGTCACACCTTCACCTACATTGGTTTTGTTTTTTTTGAGTTTTTTGTTACTGTTGTTGTTGTTTGTTTTTAGATTCACAGAGAATCCTTTAGATTCATGAGAATCCTTTTTTGACAAGCCTTGGAAAGCTGACGCTATCTCTTTTTTCTCCCTCTATACAAAGGATGTATTTAAATAAGAATGCTGGTCAGTGGGACATTTTGTCAACTATGAGTATTGGGTGCTTAACTGTCTAATATTGCCATGTGAATGTTGTATACCATTGTAAGGCTTTTGTCACTAAAGATTTTTATTCTGATTTTTCATAATCAAAGGTCATATGATATTGTATAGACATGCTTTGTAGTGAACTATAGTAGCAATAATTTCTGTACCTGATCAAGAGTTTATTGCAGCCTTTCTTTTCCTATTCTCTCTTTTTTTAAGGGTTAATATTAGCAAATGGCAACAAGTAGAAAAGTTAACATAAAGATCTTAGAAGGAGAGAACTTAAAGGACACGGATTTGTGTGATTCTTTGGCTGTGACTCTATTGCATGTGTTTCTAAAAGCTTTTATTGAGCATTGTCAAATTTGTAAGCTGCATAGGGACGGCCATCATATCTATAATGCCCTTCTATATGTGCTACCATAGATGTGACATTTTTGACCTTAATATCATCTTTGAAAATGTTAAATTGAGAAACCTGTTAACTTACATTTTATGAATTGGCGCATTGTATTACTTACTGCAGGAGATATTTCATTTTTGGCACAGTGCAAAAGTTCTTTAAAATGCATGTCTTTTTTTCTAATTCCATTTTGTTTTAAAACACATTTTAAATGTAATTTTCTCATTTAGTAAAAGTTGTCTAATAGATTAAAAAAGATCTCAATTAAAAAATAATTAATATAAATGCAAAATATGTATATACCATATAATAATTCAGTACACCCACACACACCTGGATCGGCTTCCAGGCATTTTTCTCTGCTCCTTTCATATATCCACTAATGTTTATGATTGTAGTTCTTAATAACTAATTGTAAGATAAATGGAATTAAATCACAAATGATATTAGTCATTAAAACAGTAATCAAACTAAACAATTAAGTATGGTATATAACATCTTCACTTTACATATATATCTTTATATATATGTAAAAGCACATTTCATGGTCCTTCTTTTAAAAAGCTATTGAATATTTTGTTTTCTTTATTCTTAAAAATGTGCAATATTAAATGATTATCTTAAACCACATTTTATAAAGTGACATTTGATGTAAAATTAAGAGTCATCTGGAGTTTGAAATAAATATAAGGAAAGAATTGTTTTCTGTAGAACTGGGATAAAAGTAGATTTCAAAGATTTGTTCAGCACTATTGTTATTCATCCTGTGCTGTGCTGAGAACACAGAAACCTTTCGGTAAATATTTATTGATTGATTAAAAAACATATTTGAAGGCTTTTAAAATGTGATCTATTTCTCCAAGCTGTGCAAATAAAATTACACAGATAAAAAATACCCCTTTACAATTTTTATGACACGTGTGTCAATCAGTTTGAATCAACAATTAATATAATGTACATTAGTTACACACAGAAATCCCAGTTGTTTCAGAGTATATAGAAAGAAGTAGGAGATGTAATAAGTCTATCTTCTCAAAGAGTTTATAATCAAATCAGAGAAATATGTAATGTTCATTCAACCATTAAGAGAAGATTAAGAATTCCGAGAAGGGAGAAGTTTGTAATGTCCGGAATCTCACAGTTACCTCTCTTTGCCAAAAGGACAATACTCTTTTCCCTCAGGTACACAGAACAATAGGCAGGGAAACGATACAGCAGAGATTCGCTCCCCTAATGCCCAGGAATCCTAATGACAGAACTCCAGTGAACTATTACCATAGAAGTAAGTAGACTTCATGGTTTCAATGACAATTATTTTAGGTTGAATCCTTTTGAAGAGACATTCAACTGTGAAAACTAAAATACATGCTTCAAACTTTTTTACACTCTTGTGCATTTTCCTTTTCTAAAAAAAAAAAAAACCCCTTCTTTTTTTAAATTCTGATTTGAGGCAAGAGGCTTGGGTTGTTGACATGGGTATCAACATAAGTATTCACTTGGCTATTCTATAGTTTTTAATACTGCCCAGCTGTTTATGATAACTATTTTCTATATATATATTTTCTTTAATGACATAATAACTTTATAAGCACAGCTTATTTTAATATTTTGTCAGTTTAATGGAAAATGGCATTTCCTTTTAATTACAAGAGAAATTGAACATATTTTCCTACATTTATTAATTACATTTCAACATTTATGAACTTTTTGTGTACTTCAACCACTTTTCTATGTATATACACATTGCTTTCACTAAATTCAAATAACTTTTCATATATGATTGCAGGTTTTGATTGATGGTTTCAAATGAACAATTAACCAGTTTTAGTATTGCCCAGCTGTTTAGGTTAACTATTTTCTACGTATCTCTTTTCTTTAACAACACAGTAGCATTATAAGCACAGCTATACAAAGGAAACAAGAAAAGAATATTAAACATATTCAGACTTACTGCCTGTTGTGTCTGTGGACATGAGGCTTAGGCATCTTCAAGGGAATATACAATTCAATCATTTTGACTGTTGGTACTCTGGGCCAACTCATATGCAAGAATAAAGCAGAGCAGTTAACAAGCTAATAATTAAAGTTATATTCCGGCTCAAATGTAAATAATTAGATAATACTTTGTAGTTGTATTGTTAATATGTGTATGTCATATGCTTTATAATAGTCTCTAATATTTTATGTTTGCTTGAAGAATCAGTTCAAAACAAAAAACTTTACAATAGACATGTCAACTTGAGCATGACATTTCAGATTTTATCCTGCAATGTTTATGAATTCTCTGCTCCATTAAGGCTTCACCTTAATAACCTTAGAAGGCCCTATGAGATTATCCATTTTAGTGCCTGTTGATTGACATTTATATCTTTCAGCACCAAAAGCTTTGATTTTGAAATTATTTATTAAAGGGTTAAACTATTTCACCATATGCAGGGAATAAACACCTATTTTTCCTCTGATAAAATACTGAGAAAAATAAATAGGTGGATTTATGGATGTGTACCAAAACATCACGAAAGCGTAGTTGATTCTGCTAACAAAGCTACCTTAATAATCAGAAGAAGGCCAGGCGCGGTGGCTCAAGCCTGTAATCCCAGCACTTTGGGAGGCCAAGGCGGGTGCATCACGAGGTCAAGAGATCAAGACCATCCTGGTCAACATGGTGAAACTCCGTCTCTACTAAAAATACAAAAAATTAGCTGGCACATGCCTGTAATCCCAGCTACTCAGGAGGCTGAGGCAGGAGAATTGCCTGAACCCAGGAGGCAGAGGTTGCGGTGAGCCGAGATCGCACCATTGCACTCTAGCCTGGGTAACAAGAGCGAAACTCTGTCTCAAAAAAAATAATAATAATAATAATAATCAGTAGATATCACTACCGAATCGACTTCATGATAGCAATTGATGTCGATAGTAAAGACAATCAGAATCATTCTCCCAATTATACTGCATCCTAGCTCAGTTATCTAACCTAGACAGGCATGGTTGCAGATACTAAACTCTCTCTGTCGGTCTCTTTTTCCTTCATTTTCTCTACAAATATTTTATAGAAAACAGATTGCATAGCCCACTTTTGACATTAGAGTTTCAGTAAGAAAATGAAACATTCTCTTTCTCTCCCCTAGACATAGGTAAAGATGGGTGGGTGGGCCTAAGACACATGTGTCCTCAGTAACTTCTTGGTTTTGATGTGTGGCAATGAGTGAAAATGAAGTAACCAGGGTATCTAACCCCCAAATCACTTCTTGTACTCAGGGTGAATTGATCAGCAGAGTTTATTTTCCCCAGGAAAGCCCTGTGAGCTAAAAGGTAACAATTTATGATGGTACAAATTATTTCATAATTTAGGGTCTTGGTTTTAGTAGTTTTTCTTCTGAGCAATTCACAAAGTTGTATCCAGAATGATCCAACAACTAAGACAAAAACCTTTGAACTTCTGAACTCTTTGTAAAATGAATGTTCTAATCTAAGTCATAATTCCCAGTCTTAGTGATCAGTAAGAGTTTTTCCCATAGCTTCCTATTCCAGTCTACCCCTACCTATAATCTCTCCCAAAGAACTCTCAACAAATAGAACTTCTTGAACAAGTATGGTCTTAATCATCTTATATAAATCAACTTAGACATGTTTCTGTTGATATTAAAATTATGACACTGAGCTACTTGTCAGAATGGCCGCTGTTTATTCAATGTTCTCTCTCCCTGCATTCATACCAGTAGCACATGGTATTGATAGTGCTACTTCACAGAGTTAGGAGAATTCCATGAATTGATATATGAATAACACTTAGAACAGAATAAGCCTTCACTAAACGTTAATAGACTCCTTTGCCTCTTGCTGTGGCTGTTGGCACTACATGCACGTCTGCCTCACCCTCCAGCTTCCTCTCCAACTGCCGCCCCTACA